TATATATATATAATTTTTATTTATTTATTATATAATTTTATTTACTGTTCCATTTGGTCTCTTAATCATAATAAGAAATCTTTTATAGAAACAGATTGTATAGCTATAGGCATAGAACTGTGTAATATTCCACAAATTTCTGAACATTGTCCGAAGAATGTACCAGGACGATTTACATAAACAGAAGCTTGATTTAATCTACCAGGGTATGCATCAGCTTTAATTCCTAAGGCAGGGCAAGCATATGAGTGTATAACGTCTGCTGCTGAAATAACAAATCTTGTATGAGTTAATTCAGGTATAATAACTCTATTATCTACTTCTAACATTCTAAATTGTCCATCTTCTAAATCACTTTCAGGAACTATATATGAATCAAATTCGATAAATTCATTATCTTCATTTGTAAAATCAGGATATTGGTAACTTCAATATCATTGATGACCTTCAGCATAAACAACTAATGAAGGATCCATAACTTCATCCATTAAGTATAATAATTTGAATGAAGGGAATGCAATTAATATTAATATGAATGCAGGTGTTATAGTTCATATTAATTCTATTAAAGTACCGTGATTTAAATATTTATGTGCTATAGGTGATTTTGTAGATACAAAATTTCTTATAATAACTATCATCATTCATGTAACAGTAAATAAAATTACTGCTAAATAAAACATTATATTATTGTGTAATTCTTCTATTCCTTCCATTTGTGGTGATGCACTATCTTGGAAAAAAATACCTCAAGGAGTAGGTGCATCTAATTGTAAATTTCTATTTAAAATGTCAAAAATCATTTAGATATGTATAAAAATATATTTACTTATTATCTTTCATAGTTTTAATAATACTATATTGAATTTTTTCCTAATTAATTTATTAGCATTTTCTTTTAGCATTTATTAGTAAAAAAAGTATATATATATATATGTATCAAATAATTAAATGAAATAATGAATTATTATTTAACTTTTATAAATTAAAGAATAACCTTTTCATAATTTTATATTGAAACTATATCCTTGTCTACTTTCAATTTTTAAAGCATTTTTTCCTAATTCAAAAGCAAATCCTAAAGTTAATACTAAAAAGAATACTAACATAATTACTAAACCATATATTCCATTAGTATAAGCACTTACTACATAAGGATATACTAATAATATTTCTAAATCAAATAAAAGAAATAATAAAGCGAATATAAAAAAAGAAATACTGAATTGTGTTCTATTCTGTCCTAAGAAAGAATGAAAACCACATTCGAAAGCA